ATGTGCGAACACCGATCGAATAGGCTTCCGAACTAAACAAAGTTCATGTGTTCATATATATATATATATATATATATATATATATATATAGATGTATACATTTCCGATCGCGTGTGTGTGACTCAATTCAATTATAGTTAGCATATGAATATATTGTATAATTATCGCGTTCAGCATCTCATAAAGATAAGGAAGAAGAAGAGAAGGCGGGTTCATGCACAAAAGTTATATTTGAGATCACCAGACGCAGCTGCCACAATACTCTGACGATGCAAGCGAGAAGGGTTCCGAAACGTCCGTTCAAATATAATTTGGTTCATGAACCCGCCCCCTCTTCTACTTCCGTATCTTAAGCGGATGATGAACGCGATACCTGGAACCCTAATCTTTTGGCATATAATTATATAATATATATAATTCAATGATCCCAATGGAGAGACAGATGTGGATATTACTGGCCTTTTAGTAGTCGGCTTATTTATTCTGCATCTGGGACCAAAGAACTTGTGTTGGAATATCAGGCGGATGACCGAAAACTGCTCATAAGCCAGCAGTGCAAATTCGAGTCTCCCTTATCTTTGTCTGCAATCCTCACTTGGCACTGATTGGCTGTCTGCGCGAGTGCAACATTGAGTCCGAAAGTGCAACAAGACTAGCGGTTAATAGCCCTTCTATACTTACATATAAGCAAAAGGAAATTACCAACAAAGTCTTGGGACACCAGGAAGGCCTTTTCTGGCTCATTTGCCGTCATCGGCCAGTGATACCCAACTTCAGTGTTGCCGCTGGAATTTCTGCCACACTCGAGTTTTTAAATCGGGTCTCTCCGGTCAGAGGCGAACGTCCTAACTATTGAGTCACGAGCTCACAGTCTTGCCAGTATTAAAGATAGTAGATTACAGTAGCCGATATGCGTTCACGGATCTGTCAGAGGACCCACTCGTCCGTCCATGTTGCCATTAGAGCTCTCACTCGAGTCTCAAGCGCGAGGCAGCTAGGATATAGGTAGATGGACATTACCAACAAACACATGGGATATGGCAGCAATTTCAGTGACAACACTGGAGTTAAGTTTCACTAGCCGATAACGGCAAATGAGCCAGAAAAGGCCTTCCTAGTGTCCCATGTCTTTTCTGGTAATGTCCTTCTGCCTATACCCCAGCCGCCTCGCAGTGGAGGCTCGAGTGAGAGCTTTTATGGCAACATGGACGGACGAGTGGGTCCCCTGACAGATCGGTGTACGCATATTGGCTACTTACATATATGTATATATTAATATTACTTTCATTAATGAATAATTATAAGTAATATTATTATTTATGTATAAAGGTCCACTATAATTCACGGTAACAGGTCTTTAGTTACTGTGCGTCACATCGAATAAAGCAAGTTGTTTCAGGTAATGTCCAAATAAAATGAAATTAATCCCATGCAAATGCGAGATGCCTACTTACTTAAAGCGCTTTACTACTTCATGCATTTTGTAACCGCAAAACCAGGGAAAAACTGTTTTCACTGAGGGGCCAGTAAAGGCAGGAATGGAAACGGAAACTTACGATGTGGAATTAAAAGAGTGTTTTTTTCCGGACGTGTTATGAATTTACTATATAATTTTACTCCTCCGTCCACGTCTATGTCCTGAAAAATAAATGAAATCTTTATTTCGGGACGGTTTAAACGAACCGTTTGCACAGCATATAAAATAGGCTTCACCCACCTCAACGTCCTCGTCGTATAAAAGCATTAACGACGTCCATTTATTGGGGTCCACCTCGACTCTTTCCTGTTTACCAACGCCCTTGGGCACCGGCAAATCTACAGTGTTAAAAAATATCCCGGTTGGTGGACAAGTGAATAAAATACGATATTGTCCATTTCATCTCCCGCTGTGACCCCCTTTTGACTCATATCTTCGCACATGCATATACGAGGTTACTTTTTAAGCATTCGGTATCTACGAGCATGCGCTGGCCTATCGGTAACGCTCAATGCCGTGTGATGTTGAGTAAGAATGTTAATCAGCAGTCGGGTGTTGGGTTAATAGCGATGGCTTGATTATGGATCGACACTGTCAACAAATGCAAGAGATTGAAACGGCCATTTCGGACTCACTAGCAGTCGTCAGTTTGTCATACTCGCCAATCCAAGGTGATGTACCACTGAGGCTGCAACCTGCGAACTTTTGATCAGAAGGTTAACGCTCTGGCCGTTGGCTTAGTGACTTAATTACAAATAAGGTATGATTGCTTTGAGTGGGAGGCCAATCTGAGGTCAGCCAGCTTGGAAGCGGGACTTTTAGTACACTAGCGAAACAGGAGATGTATATGGACTTCTGATAAACTGCTCACGGGTTCGAGTCTCGGGTGATGCAGCAGTTGGGGCTAGAGGCTGCGATCACAACTGATCTAACCGGCCTCGAGGATGTCCCGTACGGTGCTTCTCCTCGCACGATGATCCGTGGCAGCAGAAATGGACAGTTCGAACCATTCTGTTCGCCATCGCCAGAGACCGAATACCGAAGCTCCAAGAACCGCTTCCATGTCCTAGCGGACTGAGTTGAGCCAGCTTTTGAGCTGACGTTGCTAACTAGGTAACGGGTCAGATCAAGCGCAGTAACACTGAGCTCGTGAGGTTGGCGGCAAAGAATGTGTCGAAACCACCTCTAGATTGCCTAGGGTATCCTTGCGATATTTTCGCAACGAGTGCGGACTGTCATTTAAGGCGATGTCGCTGTACTTCACTCGAAGGATGGTCCTCAAGCAGTAATGGTCAAAGACTTCCAGTTTCCGTTCATCTTCCACGCGCATAGCCCACCATTTGCATCCGTATGAAGAATAGACCTTACAGATGCACGGTACACGCGGACCTTTGTGGAGATAGGCACTTTCAAAGCCTGGAGAAAACTCATCGAGTTGCGTCAATTCGGGAAAACAGTGTCATCCTTACTCTGTCCATTGGGCAGCAACCTCGATCCGAGGTACTTGATACTGCCTTTTCTTGGTCAGAAAGCACTTGGGGTTGGTGGGTATGATCGGTCGACGGCGGTCAATGAGTCAGAAATAACAATTCGGGTTTACCTTGGCTTTGTCAGCAGTGTTATATGCCTAAGCTACTAGCCGCTATGCGGCTGTTGGAAGGGCCTGAGAGTGAGCCTTAAGGTAGAACTGAATGAGTGAGTTCAGTTAGCAATCGATGAGGAATCACGGAGAATCTGAACTCGGTCTTCCCCCCGACATCCAGTTCACGATGGAGGAAGAAAAATGCAGTCATTTGCGGCTCCTGGAGGTGCTGGTGTGCAGAAAAGGCGGCAGGGAACTCAAAACAACCGTTCACAGGAAGGTGACAAACACCCCGCGTATTCTGAGGTACTTCAGCAACCATCCCGTCCCTCACAAACGCAGCTGCGTGCGAACGCTACATCCCCGCGTTGAAACAAGAAGGCCGAGAAGGCCTTGACAAGAAGGCTGAGGTCAGGTATCTCTGGAAGCTTCTCAGGACAAATGGACACCCTGGCGCAATTTCTTAAACATAAAGTCGAGGAGCCAAACGAAGGAAACCAACGAGACAGTCAGAACCAACACGCTGGCGACCAATACCTTATATTGCTGGTGTATCTGTGAAATTCGCTCAACTGGCCAGCGAATTTGGGATTGGTGTCACTCACAGACCGGTTGCGACAGTCCGCAGGCAACTCATGAGGCCTTAAGGCCCAATACCCGTTAACTATGAATCCAGTGTCATTCACCGCATTGACTGTCCTTGTTGT